ACAAACAAGATGAATTACGAGAAAAAGAACTCCACAAGTATAAATACTTGCCTAATGTCATACTATGATATCAGAGGAATTGCTTGTCATAGTCAAAGGCACTCTTACATCTTGCTGGATTTCTTGTGTATCATGTGAAATATGTGTGGGTACACTTTGAATCCTGAAGAAAATTTTAAGTTGATAGTATTGCTTATAGATAAGTGAGAGAGTTAACATGGTGTATAACCAGGATTTCTGGATGGGGCAAGCTGTGAGGTATAAGGAATCATCTTGCTGATACTGTGCTTTATGTATTTGACACCTCTCAAGAACTAGACTTCTATATTTAATTTCTCCATCCAAATCAGCCAAAACAAAGGTTGTGTTTAAAATAACTTTACGAACATCTTTATTAAAGATAAGTTTGTAACTGTGCCTCTGTGTATTCTTCCTTTTTAACAGAATTTCTGCCTCTCTGCGCTAAGGAAGTACCTTCTTTTATTGTGAGAGGTTCCTGGAGACTTCTTAAAAATTCCATTTCGTGACAGGTCCGTTTAGGTTTTGTTGTTAGGTGGCACTTTGTGCACTGATAATTCAGTTTATTAAATAAACATTGAACTCCTGCTATGTGGAAGGTGCCTTAGGGGAAAAGGGATGAGTAAGACACAACTTCCTAAGTAAAACTACAGTTTTGTAGGAGGATTAAGTTATAATAAAAAGTAAAATATTGTTTAGTATGGAGTTTTGAATAAAATGTGTGTTTGGAGGGGGTGAAGGTGAAGGAGGAATGGGGCATATCTGGCTATGGGATTGGGAAGGGCTTCTTGAGGATAAGTGACATTTTAGCTGGCCTTTGAAGAGTTTTTAAGGGCACGGGGCTGGGAAGGTAACATAAAGGACGGAGGTTGGGCTCATGTCAGATGTTTTGGGGGGAACAAAAAGCAATTCTAATTTGCTGGCATAAAGTATTACAGAGAAATAGATTCGTTTGTTTCATAAACAAATTATTTCTACCCACCAAGTATGGAACACAGGCTGCAATCTTAATGCTGATCCGAGCAGTATATTTTTGGTACAGTAAACATTTTCGGAGCCATTAGAGATACTAAAATTAGAATACGTCAGGACTGAAGATGGACCCAAAGATTCATCTGGTTTTCAGTCTAGTTAGTAATACATGCTAGAAGGGGTAAGAAGACCTACTGGAAGGTGATTGTAATATTTTAAAGAAAAAGACTATTGCTTGGAACTGGGGACAAGGAACAAATGGATATGGGAAATATTACTGTAGGAGAGCATATGGATTTAGCATGCTAATAGGGCATTGGAGGTGGCAGTGAAAATACTGGAGAGTAGAGAAGATGTCTGGGTGACTGGGCAGGTACTGGTGCCTTTATTAGAAATAGAACAACAAAAAGGATTATGCTTTTTTCCCCCCCTTCTGATTATATTAGAGAGCTTAACAGCAGTTAGGATTTCAAATCACCTTTTGTATTACCATCTTATACATTCACTGTTCTCATATTGCCTATTCCCGTTTAGACCTTTTCCTTAAGTGCATATAAGTCTTACACTTATGGTACTCCTCCATTTTTTTTTAAAACTTGCTATAAGTGTTTGAGAACTAGCTTTAAAAAAATAAGCTGCCAAGTTTTAAGGTTTGTTCATTTTTAGATGCTCATAGAACTTACAGGTAGAATTAGATAGTTTGAATGAACTGGAATTGTTAACAAAATGCTGATCCTGCATTTACTTAAAATTACAATGTTTTGTTCATGGTGGATGTTTTTGCATTAAGTTGTTAATGACATTACATTAAGTTATTATTAATCTTAGTTGCTGAGTTTTTTGGTGCCCCCTTAAGTTTTGCCTCGCTCATCTTATATTTGTCCTGGCCCTGAGTGGTTGTACAGTCCTGTGGGTGAGTAGACTTAAAGAGGAGCACATGGACAGAAAGAGAGGGCTGACATAGGAACTCTAGGAGTAACCTCCAGTTACAGGTGGGAAGTGGGAAAGGATTCAGTGGGAAGTGAGGAGGGGCCATCCAAGGAGCAGGTTGGCAGTGGAACCAAGAAAGGGTGTTCAGACAAGCTGGAGTAAGGATAGAATTTTGAGAAGGAAGCAGGATAGTCACTAATGGTAACACTTCAGAAAGATTAAGAAGGAAAGGATACAGATTGAGAAGAGAGAGTGAGCATTTTGGTGATAAAGAGTATCACCCACTGATTTGGAGAGAGCAAGAGTGCCTGTAACGTGTTCCTGTTTTAATCTGGAAGCTACAGCAAAGATGAGTGAGTTAGTGAGAACTGAAGCAGGTCTTGAGAGTATCAAACGAAGGGATCAGCATGGTGTAAATAGACAAAAGCAAGGATTCCTACTGGTAGGTTACTATTAAAATGAATAATTTTAGCTCATATGAGAAATAGATTTGGTTAACATTTTACTAAGTTCCATGTCCTGGCAGTAGTGTTGTGGAGATTTTGCATTGTTTTAAAAATTCATATGCTTTCCGTAATTGATACCTATGATGTAGACTGAAATTGTAGTCTAAATTATTTTTTATTTGCATAAATAATTGGAAATCTTGTACCGTTCTTAAGCCTGTATCATATAGTTGTTTTGTAGTATATGCCTTTGTGTTGTACATGTGAATTTTACGATTGACTTGAAGATGTTTATGTCCTACACATCTGCATTGTTGCCCAAGTGTTACTGTACTAAACATTGTTTTTCAAATAGCTTCTGTCATTAATCACCTTCCTTCAAAAATTTTGTTTGTATTTGGGATTATATTTTTTTGTTTAATCTCACTCTGGATATGGGTACTATGAAATGTTCTCTTTTATATTTCCTGGCTTTTCCTAAAGGAGCCATGACCTTGGCCCCTGTTCTTCTCCATGTGTGCGTCCTTACCTTTGGAGATCTCATTTCTCACTTCTTGTGTGTTTGTCTTTCACCTTGAGGATGACTCCCAAATGTATGTCTCCATCTCTGTCCTCCGTCTTGTGTTGTTACCTTCCCAGCCCCACCCCTGTACAGTTCTTCTAATTAATTCTTCATAGGCCAGCTGAAATGTCATTTACCCTAAAGAGATCCCCCTAGTCTAGTCTCTGTCCTGTTGTCTTCTCTTGGCAGACATTCAGCGGACATTTGTTTGTTGAGTATTCTGTGCCAGGCACTGTGCTGGCCCCTGGTGAGTAAAACAGTTAACATCTCTACCCACGTGGATGACACTTTTGAATGTGCTTCCCTCCTATGTCTTAATCACTTTTTCAGTACCCCTTGCCTAAATATTCTATCATCAGCTGTCTAAAACTAAGCTTATGTTTTCCTCAAACCAGTTCTCTGCTAGAATTTTCACACTTAAAAAAAGTTAATTATTTTCTATTAGCTAGGATTAAAGCCATGGAATTTTGTGTTCATTTCTAATTAAGTCATGCTCTTCATTCTCTCAGTTCTTCTTCTATTAATGAACTCCTTCCATTGCTTCATCAAGTTATGAATAGACTATCACAGTACTCTGCTGCCTGACTTTCTCTGTAGTCAGGTTAATTGCGAGGTTAATTTTCCCAAAGTTATAAATTTCCACCATTTCCACGTTGCTTGCATGTTGTTGGTTACCTGTTTGTTAGGCAACATGATATGAAAATTAGACCTGTCCCCTTTTCTCAGATCCTTTGCCCCAGCAACATTGGTCTGTCTTTTGGGTATTCAGTATTTTTTTTTCCTTAAAAACAGTATCCTCTTCATTTTCTTTTAAGTTTCTCAAGTCTTGCTTATTTTACAAAGCTTTTCCCTACCAAGGGAGACTGCTTTTTATCTTTGAACTGCTGTTACATGTATACCACCAGGTTGTCATGTCTATACAGGAGATTCAGCAGATTCTCTGTTATTTTATGTATATTTATTGTGTTCTCTCTCCCAGTTAATCGTTGAAGTGCTGTTAAAGTCAAATCTGACTGAGAATACGGAGTAGGAATAGGATAAAGGGTCAAAAGCCAATGGCCACTAGAAAGTTGATCCTCTGAAAACAACTAAAAACTTGTCACTGGTTTTTAGAGCTCTCCTTATTAATTGTATATTTTTATGTCACATAGTTCCTTCATCTTTCTCAATGACCTAATGGCAGTTAAAAGTTTTAACTTTTCTGTGCACAGTTGAAGGATCAAACACGGTTTCATGTAATATATCTTCCTTGCTTTGTTTGAATTTACTAAATTTTGATTTTGTTACTTTTGTGGATTCTCTCTACTTTTTACATAATTCATACTAATTCCCCTTACCATTAAAAAGGTGAATCAAAAAAAAAAAAGGTGAATCAAGGGGTGCGTGGGTGGCACGGTTGGTTGGGCATCCTATCCTTGGTTTCCACTCAGGTCATGATCTTGGAGCCATGGGATCAAGCCCACATAGGACTCCAGGCTTGGCCCAGAATCTGCTTGAGACTCCTCCCTCTGCCTCTCCCCTCACCATGTGTGCACGTACTCTCTTCCTCTCTCTCTCTCTCTCTCAAATAAATAAAAATCTTAAAAAAAAATCACATTAAGGTAATAGTATTGAATACATGTGGTGGCTCTGCAAGAAAAGTTCATCGGACTGGGAGTCAAGAAGAGAAGGGCTTTAGATCACTACTGCAGTTTTTAAATTCTTGGACAAGACTCTTCAGGACTTTGGGCCTCAGTTTCTTAATCTGCAAATAAGGTTTCAGGTAAATGATCTCTTAAAATGTCTTTCTCAGTCTAATTTTATCATATGCATACTGACTAAGAAATCACCCTTGCCTTTTTTTTTTTTTTTTTTTTACATTAGTCTGACTCCAGACTCTTGTGTTAACAGAGTTTTGTTGTACTTTTCTTTTAGATTCTAGTTTAGGTTCAGTCAGTTACTACTTCATTTGGAATTTATTCAGTTCTGAGTACAGTGTTTTCACAACAAACATCCACTAATTATTGAAGAGGATAAATTAACCTAATTGGGATTTACTTTACTTATTTACTTTACTTTTTTTTCTTTTTAAGGTATTTTCAAAAGAAATAATTCCAGATTGATGGATGAAATTTTAAAACAGCAGCAGGAACTTCTGGGCTTAGATTGTTCCAAATACTCACCAGAATTTGCAAATAGTAATGACAAAGATGATCAAGGTAAGCATGAGTGTGAAATTGAGTAACTTATGCAGTTTTGTGTTTTGTGTTTCAAGGCAAATTCTGTTATCCATTCATTCTTTCTACCCTGTAGGTCTTTATTATCACCATCTTTAATGATCAGATTTAGACTTTGCTTTCTTCATCTTGTTCAAAAATAATTTTCAGAAAACAAAATTATGACTTTCACAGATGTTAAAAAAAAAACACGTTAAAGATTTTATTTAACTCAGAAACAGCCAGGTATCAGGTGGATTTTGTAACTAGTTCGAAAGAGAATCTAGAGAATGGACATACTTTTAGATCAGAAATATTGAAATGAACATGTAAATGGAAGCAAAACTAGTGTTTCTATGGCATTACAGAGAAGATCATTGAACCTCTACTAGACAAGAAAGAATTTGCATGTCGATAGACAAGAATTTGGCATTGCTGTCAGTTATGTAGAATCCTATCAATTATAAAATAAGTCCCATAGAATCAGAGCCTGATAAAGTGGACAGTACCTATTCCACGGAAACACATTTTTTTCGTAGTCTTCATTTTGGTCTTGTGTAACTGCTAACTGTACCATGATTGTAGGTGACATTTTAGATGAGTGAAAATTGTAAACTAGCCTATAATCCCTGTTTTCTAGAGGATGCACTCAGAGATACAAGGTCTCTAAGCACTCTGAAAGGAAGGCAGTATATAAATACATATGCAGATGGATGTGTGAGTCCTTTCAGAGGGGTCTATGTAGGTATGTTTTGATACTGAATTTGAAGGACTTAAATGATTCTTGTTTACTCTAAGAACTATTATTTTAGTCTGAGCTTACTATTTCTTGAAATGGATTTTGAAATATGTCTGGAACAGGATGTTTTATTTCCTAACCTGTTTGTTTCTTCCTCCAGTTTTAAATTGCCGATCGGCAGTGAGGGTGCTCTCCCCAGAAGATGGAAAAGCAGATATTGTGAGAGCTGCTCAGGACTTTTGCCAATTAGTAGCCCAGCAGCAAAAGAGATCCGCAGATTTGGATGTAGACATGTTAGACAGTTTACTTAGTAAGTCCTGTATATATATATATATATGTATGTTATTAGTTTTATCCCACAGGGCTACGGTATGAAGGAGAACATCTAGGTTCTGTTTATGCAATAAAGCCTGATTTTGTTATTGTTACCCTTGTTTCTGAAATTTTCAAGACCCACACGTGAAAATGGTTTTGAGATCATGAAATTTGTGGTCAACTCACTTGAATGAGGACTTACTGGTAAAGGAGAGGATGTTAGAGGATTTGTGGGGCAGTGATAAATATCCTTGAATATAGGACTTTTGCTTGTCCGTCTCTCCCCCCCCCCCCCCCCGGGATGCTTTTCCTATATCAAGAGTGACTTCTCTAGTTCTCCAGACACCGAATGGGTATCCAGCAATTCAATTCACTTCTGATTCTAACCACCTGGAGTCAGTGTTTGACACTATAGATTTAAAGGCTCAGTTACACAAGACTGCCCCCCTTCACCCCCCGCCCCCCGCAGATGCCCGTTGCAGTTTTCAGCCACCTGCACTTGTCACCTGCCCAGACCACCTGATCAACAGCCTATAAATAAGGGTTTCCCGTGACTCTCTCCTGAGGTTTGATAATTTGCTAGAATGGCTCACAGAATTCAGGAGGGAACTTTACACATTCACCTGTTGATTATAAAGGCTACAACTCAGAAATGGTCCATCTAGGGCAAGATATTGGCAAGGGGATGCAGTCAACTTCCATGCTCTCTCTCTGGGCAAGTCACCCTCTCAGCACCACATTGTGCTCATCAACCTGGAGGCTATTAGCACCCTGCCTTTTAGGAGTTTTTATGGCAGTTCCTTTATGTTAGCAGTATTAATTAAATCAATGGCTATTAGGGATTGAACTCAGTTTTCAGCTTCTCTTCCCCTCCCTACTTGGAGGTTGGAAGGGATGGCTGAAATTTCAGCCTTGTAATCGCTTGATTGGTTTCTCTGGCAATTAGTTCCTATCTTAAAGCTATCTAGAGGCCCACCAAGAGTCATCATTAACATAAAGTCAGGTATGGCGGAAGGGGGCTTATGAATAATAAAAAATACTCCTATCATTCAGAAAATTGCAAGGATTTTAGGAGCTCTGTGCTAGGAACCTGGACAGAGACCAAATATCTATTTTTTATTATAATATCACACTCCTCTGTGTCTTTTTAGTTTGAACTATCTGTTAAATTTTAATTTAACCGCTATTTAGGAGGCATTACCAAGAAAATAATCTTATTCATTATTCTGTTTTTAATATTCTATCTCTTTTAATTTCTATCTCTTATATGATACCGAATATACTTCCTATATTTGTCATGTTATGCCAGGTATAACATTATAGAGTTTTTTTCCTTTAAAGATTTATTAAAAAGCTTTTAAGTTGGTTATTCTTTCTAGAGCTCCCTAGGAACTTTTTGCCTTAACTTTATGGTCCTTCTGCCTACTGGCATTATCCTGGATCCTTTTGAAGAAAGGCAGTACTTCTTACAAGTTCATGTCCAGTGATAGCTTCTATAGCCATACAATTTCAGACATGCATTTTTTTGTTCATTCACATAGAATTTCCATTTATCTTACACTTTAATCATGCATTTTTTGTCTAACTCAGTCATTTATTTGACCCTCCATTCTTGTTTCTTCCACTTTTTAACGTGTCTGTCACAGAGCACAGTCGCTCTCTGACCACATGGTCTCACTGAGTACTGACTCCTTCCTCTGCTCTCCTCTTGTCTTCTCTCTTATTGCCTATTGTATTCAATATTCAGGCTGAATGAATAGATTGAAAGTAGATCATTGTAGGGCTCATTGTAGGTTACTGGAGTGTTGACTGTTTCCTGGATTCTGTAAGCCCTCTCAACCAGAGAGTAATTTACGAGAGTGTCCTGAAAGTGATGCAGGGACTAAAAGTGGTCCTTCAGGTAGCCAATTCTCACATAGTGCTACAGTGTTGAGCCCAGGTGTTGGCTTCAGGGGTAGTAAACCCATGATAAGTAAAAATGTACATAGTCCATAAGTTACTAATCTGACAGAAGCGAATCCTCTGAATACTGTCACCTCCAAAAGTTCTCTTGTGACTGCAGTTAATCACCATTCCTACTCCTACACAAGGCAGCTACGTATCTGCTTTTTGACTATACTTTTGTCTTTTCTAGAAATTATATATAAACATAGTCATGTAGTCTTCAATGTCTTGCTTTGTTTCCTTGGTATATTATTAAGGTCCATTCACATTGCAAATATTAGTAGTTCATTACTTTTTGTTGGTGAATAGCATTCAGTTTTATGGACGTACATTTTGTTTATTCATTCATCAGTTGATGTACATTAGGTTTGTTTGAATAATGCTGCTGTGACCATTCACATACAAGTCTTTGTGCAGACATGTTGTCCTTTCTTTAGTACATAGCTAATAGTGAAATTGCTAGTTTCTATGGTGAGTTGAATGTTTAAGAAACTGCCAAACTATTTTTCAAAGAGGCTATACTATTTTTACATTCCATGAGCAATGTACAGGAGTCTAGATTCTTCACATCCTTGCCAAGGCTTAGTATTGTCAGTTTTTGTATTTATTTATTTATTATTTTTAAATTTTAGCCATTCTGGTGGGTAATAGTATCTCATTGTGGGTTTTTTTTTTTTTTTTAAAGATTTTATTTATTTATTCATGAGAGACAGAGAGGCAGAGACACAGGCAGAGGGAGAAGCAGGCTCCGTGCAGGGAGCCCAACATGGGACTTGATTCCAGGCCTCCAGGATCACACCCTGGGCTGAAGGCGGTGCTAAACCGCTGAGCCACCTGGGCTGCCCTTCACTGTGGTTTTAATTAACATTTTCCTAATAACTAATGACATGGAGCTTTTTTTCATGTGCTCATCTGTATCTTTAGTGAAGAATCTGTTCAAAACATTCTGCCTATTTTTAATGGGTTGTTTGTCTTCTTGAGTTTTAAGCGTCTTTATTTTGGGTACACATCTCTGTTCAGTAGTAAGGTGGGACTTAGGGATGAATATTTTCTCATAATCCATGGCTTATTTTTCTTACTGGTTTCTTTTAAAGTGTTTAATCTTTATGAAATCCAATTTATCTTTTTTTTTTCTGTTGTGGATCACACATTTGGTGTCATATTTGAGAAATCTTTGCCTAACCCAAAGTCACAGTTCTTCTAGATTTTTATCACTTTGGCTGTTAACATTTCAATGTGTAATCTATTTCGACTTAATTTTTGTGAATGGTGTGAGGTAAAATCCGTTGTTCTTCTACCACCATTTTTTTTCTCTGTTGAATTACTGTGACTCCTCTATTGAATCTCAATTTACTGTAAGTCTTTGAGTTTATTTCTGGCCTTTTTATTCTATTCCATTGTTCTATATTGTTTGTCCTTCAAATGCCACATGTCTTGATTACTATAGTGCCTACTATGGTAAACTTCGAAATCATGTAGGGTAAGTCTTTCAGCTTTGATTTTCTTTTTAAAAAACTTTGGTTACACTCAGGGCCCTTTCATTTTCATGTAAATTTTGGAGTCAGTTTGTCAGTTTCACAGGCAAATTCCACAACACCCTGTTTTGATAGGTATTGGGTTGAATCTGTAGCTCAATTAGAATTTGCCATCTTAACATTATTGAGTGTTCTAATCCATGAACATAGCATATCCATTTATTTGGATCCTAATTTTTCTTTTAACAGTGTGTTATAATTTCAGGATTTGGGTTTCTGCTTTTGTTAAGTTTATTCCCAAGTATCTTATTCTTTTGGATGCTATTAGTGGGATTGTTTTCTTGATTTTTGTTTTTGCATTGTTTGTTGATAATATATGGATATGTGGTTTTTTTTGTTTTTTTTTTTAATACTGATTTTGTATCTTGCCACCTGGCTAATATGCATTTAATAGTTCTGGTAGTTCATTTTGCAGAGTCTTAAGATTTTTTAAAGATGACAACTGCTGTCTCTGCTCAGATTTTCTATTTCTGATTTTATTTCTTAGTCTGACTGTGTCTGTCTAGTTTTATGTGTCAGACAGTGATATGCACACTGGTTGTGCTCAAACACTTTAAGTTTGTTAGGCTTCCCTGATCTCTGTGTGATGTTGGAAAGTGCATTCAGAGTTGCCACCAGTTCTTGTCTTCTTGACTGTTACTTTTCATTGGGCTTTCTTGCTGCCCTCTTTCATTCTTAGCATGTGGGTGGTTCCCTGGTCAGCCATGGATATGCAGAGAGCTTATTTCTGAGTTCTTGTTTCCAGGATCTTCCTGGTAAATTTCTGACCATTATACTGTTGGCCCTAATTGGGGCTACAACATCAGGCTAACAAATGGTGGGTTTTCCTCATTTGTTCCCTTTTGAGTTTGCCACTGTTAGCTCACAGAACCCCAGGTTTTCATCATTGTTCCCTCTCTCCTGCCCACTGTCTTCAGTGCCAAATCGAGTCCATATCTTTTGGCTACAAGCAGCAAATCTGCTAGCTTTGCTCTCAGCCCCATGCTGATAAAACTATAGTTCTCTCCGTTTGATTGGGGGTAAAGTTAAGGACCTTCCCAGGCAGGAAAGACAAAGACCCTTACTCTGCTCTCACCTGAAGCTCTGGCTGTTGTTTCATTTGTTGTCCTTAAAAGAATAATTGTCTGCTTCTGGCCAGTATCTAGTGCCCTTAAGTCTTTGGTTTTATCCAGTTTAATATGTGTTTTTTCGGGGGGAGAGAGGAGGATTCATCAGCTTCTTCACAACACCATTAGTGAGAAGTTCCTTCTTGCCATTTTCAATTTAATTTTTTTTTTTTCTTAGCTAAAGAGAATTTGCTTTTTACTAGGCAGAGGACTATATATTCTTCTTAGTCCACTTACTTTACCAAAATAGACTTTAAAGAGACTTTGTTGTGGAAATAATTCTTTATTACTGTTGGATGGGCCTGTCCAATCTAGTCTCCTTGTTTAACAAATGAAACAACTAAGTCCTTGGGAGGTTGTGTGACTGGAAATTAGTAGCAATATTGAAGTTATCAGAAACTATTAGAGCCTGGGTCTCTTGGATTATGGCATCTTTTCTGTTCTACCAGTGACTTTTTAAAATTTTTTAAAAACTTTTTATTGTTTATTCATGAGAGACACAGGCAGAGTCATAGGCAGAGGGAGAAGCCGGCTCCCTGTGGGGAGCTTGATGCAGGACTCAATTCCAGGACCTGGGATCACAACCTGAGCCAAAGGCAGACGCTCAACCACTGAGCCACCCAGGTGCTCTTGCCAGTGACTATTTTAATATTTTTAAAGCAGTTATACACTTTCCTTATCCCCTCTTTTTCTTAAACCAGGCCTTGTATGGAAGCCAGTTTGTGAGACCAAATGGCCATGCCTTTGTTGAGGCAGAGGTATCTGGTGTTTTCTGTCCCTAGGCTGGGGCTCTGGAGAAAACATTTATACTGTGTAGCTAGGAGTTGATCTTTTTGAGTCCTTAGCTATAAAGTGAAGGGTAACAGGGAAGGAAGGACTTTTGTAGTTCCTTTTCATCTCTGAAGTTATATGATTCTGTGGCCAGAATAAGCATTTGTGCCCCTAAAGCAATGTGTTTCCCAGAATGCCAGGAAAACTCTTGTGTTGAAAGATGGATGGGATTTGAAGGCTACCTGCAAGGTTTAGAATGGGAATGGGGTTACCCTTTCTTATCAGGTAATCCAATTAAATGGTCTTTAGAGAAAACTTTCACATATGGAACTAACATAGATATTAAAGTGTATGATGGGCAGTGAGGTGGGAATTGGAAAAATACAAATAAACCTTCTGAAGGAAACATACTCAGAGCATAAAAAGCCAATTTGATTAATAGATTTTGCCTGTGGTCATTTTATTTGTAAGCAATGCATGTTAAATTCGTGTCTTGGTCTTTCTTTTTAAGGTTCAACTGGTTTTCCTGATCCTGATTTAGTATTAAAGTTTGGTCCTGTGGACAGTACATTAGGCTTTCTTCCCTGGCACATCAGATTGACTGAGATTGTGTAAGTATAAAAGCATACTGACTTTGGTTCAATTCAGCAAGTGTTTCTTGAGCCTAGCACTATACTAGGTATGGTGCGAATTCCCAAAGACTTATAAGTATCAGTGGTAAGATAAAGACATAGATATAAATGATTCAGACACAAGGGAGTGTAGTTGTGCAAATATTTGGTATTGATACAAATTGTCATAGGATACCAAGAGTGAGAGAGACATGGGCCAGAGTTGTTGGTTTTACAGAAAAGGTGTGATTTGCCCTGGGGTATGTAAAATGGGTAGAGTTTTCATAATTAGAGGAAAAGGTGAGAAGTGTGGGGGATGACAGGCAGGAAAAGAAAGGAAACCTGGGAGGTAAGGAATGGACATCTCATTTTTAAGAAATAGTGAGGGAACTGGCCATACCAGAGCAGAGACTTATTAGCAGTATATAGCATTAGATGATAGAATAAATTGACCCTTGAACGGTGTAGGTGTTACAGGGAGGGGACCTCTCTGTGTAGTCAAAAATCTCTATCTAACTGGAGTCCCCGAAAACTTAACTACTAATAGTCTGCTTTTGACTAGAAGCCTAACTTAATGACAGACAATTAATAACAGTTTTGTGTGTTAATATGTATTATACACTGTGTTCTTATAATACAGTAAGCTAGAGAAAGGAAAATGATAGTAAGAAAATTACAGGGAAGAGGAAATATGTTTATATATCAAAAAATATCTGTGTATAAGTGGACCCATGCAGTTCAAACCCATGTTGTTCAAGAGTCAACTCTGTAAGGTGAAAACAGATGATTTGGGTGTTTCGATGCTGGGAAGGCTTTATTTATTTATTTTTTGGGGGGAAGGGGGAAGGCTTTAAATACCAGCACAAGGAATTGTATAACAGTTTAGACGAGAAGTAGGAAAGCACTGAGCCTGTGGATAACGTGGGAGTGGTGATTTTAGAAGATTTGTTTGGCACTTGTGTACTAAGATAGATTGGATTTGGGAAAGGATGAGGTAGAGAGTCTAGTGAAGAGGACATAGCTATGATTTAAGGGATAATATAGTGATGAGAATGAAATTGCTTACTTAGGACAGATTTGGCCAAACTTTTTGTATAAAGGGCTAGGTGGTAAATATTTTAGATAGGTATGTGGGCCATACAGTCTCTCACAGCTACTCCTCTTGTTGCAACTACTCAACATTGGTGGTGTAGCTGAGTGGCCACAGACAGTACGTAAACAAATGTGTGTGACTGTTGGAATAAAACGGTATTCACAAAAACAGATGGCAGGCTCGCAGGCTGTATTTGCTGACCCCTGATTTTGAATAGAGACTTAGTAGCCTTAAAATAAATTTAAATTCTGAGTCTTAGGAGGGGCATGCTATAAATTCTATCTTTCATGAGAATTATTTACCAAGCATAATTGTAGGCCTCGTACTTTACTAGTTGTGCTAAAAGAAGAAATGAAATGGCTCTTAAGCTTAGTAAGCCTAATTGGATAAATTAGGTGTCATTGAGAGAAACTAGAAGGTCAAGGGAACATTGGTTTTTGAAGGGAAAATTTTGAATTCAAGGATAAGATGATGGTTTTGAGGCCATAGCCTATTTAGTGGAAACACCAAGAAGAGCAGATAAAGATGTAGAATTGGTCCCTGGATGAGAAGTCAAGGCAAAAAATGGATATTTGGAGGTTGATCGTACCTAGGAAGTAGTAGTAGTTGAACCTGTGAGAATAGAGGAACTTTCTCAAGTGTAAAGAGAAAAGAGCACAGTACCAAGGGATCTTTTGGTCTTTTAGGAAATGCTTCAAGTTCAGGGGCCGGATGGGGAAAAAGTGTCAAAAAGGCAGAAAAGAACACGTAGCATGATAAGAGTTAGAAAGGGCTGTAGATCATCTGGTCCTACTTCCTCATTTTATAGGTGAGGAAAATGGGGAAGAGACATTGCTCTTATTATTGCTAGTGATAAAGTGGAATTAGAACCTACATCTCCAGACTCTGGGTTTCCTTATGATGGGTGTATTTCTCTTGTTTCTTTTTCTCTAGGGGTTTTCTTAGTTATTTCAGGTGCCTTTTGGGTTGGGCTCCAAGAAAAGTAGCAGTAATCCCTTGTGAGGTTGAGAGTGGTTTCGAGTGAAGAGTGTGTTCTAGAACAGATGGATCTCAGTTTGAATCTTGGCTATGTGGTTCAATAACATGACTTTGGATAGTTATTTAAACTTCTCAGTATTTGTAAAATGGATATTTTAATAAGAAGTTGAAGACTTCTGATCACGGGTATTAGATACCTGACATGTAACAAGCTTTCCCACAGATCTTTGTGCATATGCCAGTCATAGCCCTATCACATTACATTGAGGTTTGCTCTCTATTTGTCTGCCGCCCACCAGGCGGGAAGCATTGTGATGTCTTAATGTCTTGGTGGAGCCTTGAGAACAGAGGAGAATGGCAAGACCACTCTGGAGGCACTGAGGGTTAGTGGCGCTAAGTGCTTCTTGAGGAGTGATAGGAGACAAAGCCATTGATGAAGAGGATAAGAAAGTAAAGTGAGTTGTTTGAGGAGGATATCTGAAGCAAGCTTCAACAAGAAAAGTGTCCTTAATGTCGCCCTTTGAGGATATCTTGTGAGGTCATCACTGCAGTAGAGTAAGATAAAAGATTGATGGCAGAGATTATTAAGAGTTAAGGAAATGGAAAAGAGACTTCTTTCAGAATTTTGGACAGTTAAAGGAAGGGAAAAGGTCATAAGTCAATTGTATTTCAGTAAAGCTAGGGAGGGGCAAAGGAAGGATAAAGAAAGCATAGCTATGAGAACTGCAGGGTCAGGCCAGGAGTTCATTCATGGTAGGTTGGTTCAGTCTTTTTTTTTTTTTTTTTTTTTTGTGGTGTGTATCACTGGAACTCTGAATATGGCTTGGACTCTTACCAGGGGTTTGGCCCTGGTACAGTTTGGAATTGCCAAAGCCTCACAATACAGCTGTATAAATTAGAGAATTGTTTATGTTAATTATTGAAATTTTTTTTTAGTTTTAAAATACTTAAGGGGAACCCTCTGGCTGTACATTCATTCTGCCTTTAAAGTGTTTATCTTCACACTAATTGCCTCTGAGCAACCAGAAATGGTAGAGGGAAATAGTTCTCACCACATGGCTTCAGCATATAGTCAGAGAAGGGTACTGTGCCGCTCTGCCCGTGTTAAGCCTGGGTTTCATAAACTGTTCAAGTAGTATTGGCTTTGCTCTGACAGTTTTAAGATTTTATTTATTTGAGACAGAGAGAGAGAGAGGGAGGGAGCACAAGCAGAAGGAAGGGCAGAGGGAGAAGCAGACCTCCCCACTGATCAGGGAGCCGGAATCATGACCTGAGCCTAAGGCAGACACTTAACTGAGCCATCCTGTGCTCTCAGAAAGGAGTTCTTATAGTGAAGTTGAGAGAGGTCTCTTATTTATATTATAGATCTCCAGTTTTGCATTAATTTAGACTGAGGCTTTACAATAGATTCTGAATCTCCATCTTGCTACAAGTTCCTCATCTCTTCTGTTGGAAAGGAGGAGAGATTATATTTTACTTGGAGTATCTCGCAGTGAGTTTAGCAGTCATTTAGTAGAAAAGGTTTGACATACTCTGTGCTTATAATTTATTTTCTTCTGTCCTTAACTTCTTTGGGGTCATTATCTTTCTAGTTCCTCCCTCCAAATCGCAGTGTATCATCTAATTGCTTTTTTTCCCCTGTGCTTTCTTTACAGCTCTTTGCCTTCCTACCTAAACATCAGTTATGAGGACTTTTTCTCTGCCCTTCGTCAATATGCAGCCTGTGAACAGCGTCTGGGAAAGTAATGATCCCTGGTTGCGTAATTTGAGTTCAGGCTTTTGGAGAAAAGGACCCAAGTGACTCTGATGTTTACAAAGCACCTATGAAACCCTGTACACACCTAGTTCATAATCCTCATAATTTATCAACACAAGAAAGTGTCTTACTTGAGAGTAAGAGTATGTGTGAGTATGAATGCGGGTGTGTGTGTGTGTGTGTGTGTGTGTGTGTGTAAATAAATTTATAAATGGGGGACGTATTGGAGAAAGAAAGAGGTAGACCTGCAATTTGAGCAAATAGCAGCAATGTTTTAGGAACTGAAATTTCAAATTTAAAGGCTTTAGCCTCCACTGCTTCCCTGTTTTTGTGGGGAGCAGAGGAGGTGACTAGAGCTATTTGGCTGTGTTTTGGGGGGGAGGGGAATAATTTTTGTTCAATCTTTCCTAGTGACCAAACTTATTTTTTAAAAATAATATATTGACTTACTAAATGGAACCGTTTTGAGTTTGAGGGCTCTCCAGAGGAATGGAGTTATGTGGGGGTCACTTGTTAAAAGCTCACCTTTGGAGCAGAGGGCATACCTACTTTCAGATATCCGTCCATTTTCATCTCATTATCGTTGAGCAATGTGACTTGCTAATGTTGCTCTGGTGTCTGTGTTCTGGATTGTAAAGATCATCTGAAAAGGAACTCTTACTACATTGAAATGCAGAATTAAAAAAATTCAAATACTGTATTAGTCAAAAAAAGGTGAAAAGGTTATATAATCTTAAAGTAGGAAAATTTCCTAAAATAGGAAAGAAAGTGATTTTTTTTTTTTTAATTTGGTGGGCAGTGTGTACCAAAGTTGGTTTAAAAATGTTTCCATTAACTATTTTTATTTTAAATAAGCATTGGAGGGAAGTTATCAAGGCAGCTCTTTTCTTCAAAAGCAGTAACCTGTTCCTCTTTGGAATAGCACATTTCAAACCGTGTTAGTACCCAGGATTTTTACTCAGTAAATCCTGATAGTGACTTTCCCTAAAAGCTCTTTTAAGATTGAGGCTTGTGTAGGTAATAAAATATTACCAAAGTCTACAAAAATAATTTTCCATGTTCTCTTTCATGACAGAGAACGGCACTGGTTCTGTTATTTTTTAAATGAATAAATGATTTTTTGATAGGTATTTGATATTTCTTCCCTCACTGCTGATCCTTGGGCAGAAACCATTCTTTATATTTGATCGACTGTTTTCAGAAAAATCTTAAGTGTACAATAGTTGTCTAAAACTGTACGTTTAGAATGGAGTAGCCTAAATGCTAGGTCTCAGAAGTCTGAAAAATAGCAAAGAAGACGATTGTGAAGGCAAGGTCTGAAGTTGCTTGTCATATTCTGAAGCTATGAAGAATAAATGTTTCCACTTTGGATTACAAAACCCCATTTATGATTTTTAAAATTACACTTGAAATAAAATGATTAAACTAAATTTTGGTCCAGTGACATTACTTTGCACTTAATAGTCCTTTGTACATTATAAGACTTTTTTTTTTAAGTCTTAATTTATTGCTGAAAGTTTTGTGTGAAACTATAGCATATCTCTGAACTTTACTAGACAACTTCTGATTTCCGTTCCCCTGTACTGTGATCCATGTTCAATTGAGGCTTTTTTGCCTTAGTTTGAGACTGAATTTGTGTCTTTTATAAACACGGTATGTGTCTTTTATAAACATTCTGGAATATGTGTGGCTTTAATGAATTAAATCTAATGGGCCTGATTGAAGTGAAGGGATTTAATATTTGTTAAAATGAAGTTAGTCAAATTACCCACTGGGATATAGCCAAAGCTGCTAAAAGTTTAATGGTTGAGTCTTTGTACTTTTCTTTTCTCCTTCCATTTCATAGCAGTGTAGTATTTAGTATATTACACATCAAAGTAGCTCTAGAACTTGTGACCTGAGTCTGTTATAGTCCTAGGAAGAGACTCTTAAAACACGTTGCTAGGGATTCTGAATTCAGATATAGGCATTCCAGATCCTCATGAGTTTAACTGCTAGTATAAATCTCCCCAACTTGAGTGGCATTGGTCATTTTGTAATTCCTGCCAAAATCATCACAAGTTCTGCATCATCAGGGCTCCCTTTGCATTCCCAAGAAAGAACTGTTGTTTGTCTTTATGTGTACTCAAGGCTTTTGTCCTTAAATTGTTTCTTCTTGACACTCCCCACAATGAAAAAATAAATAAAATTAAACTGACTTTAAGGATGGCAGCTTGGGAGCATAGCAAAAAGTTGGAGTGTTTGAATTCTATTCCCAATTCTGATTGTATTTTGTATCTTAAAATTGATTACTGTTACAACAAAGTTTGAAAGCTGCTTTTAATGTGAATAGCAAAATTCTGGTATATTGTGGCTAAGGCTTAAGAATACCTTGTCTCTGAGAAAAGGTGTTATAATGTTAATGAACAGTGCCAAATACACTGTGCGTATCTACGATTTAATCTTTGAATGTATGTTATTTGATTAGCTCCCTCCTCCTGTGTGATGGTACCACGCATAGAGTCAAATCCTTGTGATGTTTTGTATGGCTGTAGACTTTGGCAACATGTAAATAATGTGTAAAGCAAGTTTTTATGATTGAGGAATCAAATTTATTGAATTTTATTATTGAAAGTTGAAACTCAACATGTATGAACAAAGACAATAAAAGAATATACTCTTTTCATGGACTATAGTATTATGTGAATGCTGCATTTATTCTAAACATTTAGGGTCTGCAGAAATGTACTGAGAAACTCATGACTAGATAGCCAAACTATTTTCTCTTTTTAGATAGTATGTTCTTGGTTGAAATATATTCTCATTTTTACCGGGTTAAACATTTGCAATCTTCATGGTATTTGCTTCTTGCTAGATTACAGCAAGATGAAATTCAGCTTTGCCATTGCTAGAGTTGTCAAAATTCCACAGTAATTAAAATTGAAATTGATTTTTACTGAATATAGAATGCCAAATTAACATATATGTGTACTCTTTTAAGAAATTTGACAGTCCTTGTTAAACTAGAAAATAGAAAGGGAAGAACCATGTCTTGTCTTACATTGCATAGAATATTCACTTTCTATGTATCTTACAAGATGGTTGACTTCTGTGAACACTTTTATCTGAAATTGGGACTTTCGAAGGGTACATTTTAGCTTTAGTTAATAGGAAATGCATTTAACAAAAATTAGGAAGACTTTAGTATAGTTTGAAATAAAACCCAGGAACCAAGATTAATGTCAGCAGCAGTCCAAGAATCCTACTTAATATGCCATAAACTGTGATAAAATTGGTGGGAAAAGGGAGTGCAAAAAGAATTTGCATATGATTTTTTAAAAATACACCTTAATTGTCGAAAAAATAGAAAATTCAGAGAAGCAGAAGTAAAGGAAAATAATCTCTAATACCATCTCTCATTGTTTACATTTTTGGTGACAATCCTAGAATTTTTTTGTACTTACATTTGAAAAAAATGAATTATACTGTAACAGGCTTAATAAAGAGATTCTTTTTAAGCCACAAACTATAAATTGAGAGTCTTACATTCTGTTTTGCATTTAGTTATTGTGTCTGGATATAAACAATCACATGAGCACATGAAAATAACCCTTAACGGGTATTTAACCTTGGCCCAAGTTCTTGTTTATACTCTCTCCCTCCATCTGTCTTGTAGAAATTGAGGGACTAAAAATAAGTTTTAGCATCTGGACTCATACATGCAGGTGAATGCAAAAAATAAAGATTAGATATACTCCTAGATCAGACTTAACCTGCTATTGACTATACTTTCCAATCAGTAATAGTAATAATTTGCTTTAATGAAGACAAAGAAAAAATAATGTTTGGCTCAAAGAAAGAAGGCCTGAGCTAAATGAAAAGATCTGAATGTAGGTTAGTCATTAACAGCATAGTTATATAAAGTAATATTCCCATTCTGATGAAGATGGACTTCAGCTGCTCTATCTTACGGACTTCGATCTATGAATCCTTCCCCCTTTTTTTTGTTTTAATTTTGCAGTGTTATTCCTCAGTAACAATTATACATAACTGCTTTAAATTCCTAATTTTTACAAAACATAATGGAGAAGAAAATAGATAATAGTAATCAACTGTTTTCACCAGAAATGAACCAATATTTTAATTAGGTTTCAGATAATTAGAAAATGAGACATCAAGAAAAACGTGAAATTTACTTAACTAGAGATGTTTGACAGCATCTGCCTAGGACTGGTTTTCAACTGGAGTGATTACACCCCCCTAGTGGACATTAGACAAGATCTCGAGACACTTTTGTTTGTCACAAGTGGAGGAATATTACTGGTATCAAGTAGAAAGAGGCCAACCTAGGGGTGGGTGATGGATGTCGTCCAAAATATTACAGCATAATTTTAAGCAACAAATCGAGTTTGTTTAGATTTGAATCTATAGGTCATAGTTTAGAGATGAAATAAACATTCACTTATATATGCATATATTAAATATGTAAAATATAAACTTTTTTTCTACTCGTGAGTTCTAGTCATTTTCACATTTTCTCTTGATATATTGAGACACCAGTTTTCCAAAGCCTGTCATCTTGTTGTCTCAGCTTACTTGAAAGAAATCAGTGTTTTTTTGGAAGATGGTAAATGTTCATCGGAAACCAAGTACACTATATGTTGGCTAATTGAACTTAAATAAAAAAATAAAGATGGTAATTATTTTATCCATGTATGATGCTATAAGAAATCCCATGCTTCAAATATGTAGCATAAACATCAAGTTAGCAATTTCTTTCCTTCATCCTGCAGGTGGTTGACTTCCACATCATAACCACTTACATTGTTCTGAAAAATGCTTATTGTAACATATCCTATGCTTGGTTTTGAGTCGTATTTCCAATAATAATGACTAGACATTGTTAAATTTCTTTTTTACTTTTAAATAATTTATCTGGTGGCCATTTTTAGCATTATGAAAGTAATATTAAAGTGGCTTCAACCTAAGGTGATTTTCTTAAATATTACTTGTAATTCAAATAAGGGATTAGAGTGCCTCTCCTGAAGAGATTTTGGTTGGCCTGGAGAAAGATGTCTTTTTTTTGAGGGATAATTACAGAGAAATAAACCTGCTTGTGTTCAGGTGTACCCGGGGTATATATGTGTATGTGAAAATAGTCCTGACAAGACTGACACTGACTTTGGAGTTTGAGATGCAACACCAAATATAA